ACCAAGAACTCAATTTTAGTCAACTAATTTTCTCCAAACTAACCTGGGCCCTTTAGACAGACTGCATACTTAGTTTAAATAATCTTTCAATTTACCCAACTGTGGTAAGCAGCCACTAGGATGGCCCCCAATGATCTCTTCATCCTGGTATTTATGCCTTGTGCAATCCCCTCCCCTTGAGTGTGAGCTGAATTTAGTAATTCACTTCTAAAGAACAAAGTAGAACATACATGATGGGCTGTCACTTCTGAGATTAAGTTATAAAGAGACTAGTTTTCATCTCGAGTGCTCTCGGTCTCTCGTTCTTGGCCAGCTCATTCTGGGAGAGGCCAACTGCCATGTTGTGGAGAGGCCCCCATGAGCAAGCTTGGAAGCAGATTCTCCCCCAGTGGAACAATGAAATGACTGTAGCTGACACCTTGATCAAAGCCTCATGGGAGATCCTGACCCAGAAATACCCGGTGAAGCTACTCCGATTCCTGAACCACAGAAAACGTGGGAAAATAAAGGTTTGTTGTCCTTGGCTGCTACATGTTGGAGTAGTTTGTTACACAGCAGTAGATAACTAATACACCATGCACCATGTTCGATTTGTGCTCCTAACACCTCATTCTTAAGGCATTATTAATGTGAGAAATTTACTCAAGATGCTTCTTCCAAAGGCCAATATACATACGAGAGAGGTTTTGTCTTTCATGTCTGAGTTAACTTTTAAAATCTGTAACATTTACTTTTATCTGTGTTACATTAAAATTTTAATTAAAAATGGTGGCCCAGATGCAAATTTAAAACTCTCTTGTTTCTACATATCATTTCATTTACCCTCATAAAAACCCTTTGAAATAAGGTGCTGTCATCACCCCATTCTTAACTATAGAGAAACAAGCAGGGTAAGCAACTTGCCCAATGTCATACAGCTAGTAAGTGGTAGAGCCAGATAGTCTGGTTCTAAGGCCTCATGAGGCCTTAACCCTTAGTCCCTGTTGCTTCTTAGACAAAAAAGGTCAAATACAACAGGAAAGCAGGCCAAAGTGCCTTAATATCCAGCCCTTGCGTAGAAGACTCATTCAGGACTAGAGTTTTCATGATTTAGATGGGATAATACCAGTGTTTAATGAATTCTTAGAAGGGTTAAATGAGATAAATTAGATCACATATACCAAACACCTAGTATACTGCCTACACATATGACTATAAAAATAGAATATCCAATTGGGAAAAGATGACAGATCTTAAATTATCACTGAAAACAAAGCAAAACAACAAGAAAAAAAAACCTTCCCTTTCTGAGGAGAGACCATTCAAATCACTAAAAAACTCAAAAACATTCTCTGATCAAACTTTTGAGTCATTATTAGATTGACACAATTGAGGGGCGCCTGGCTGGCTCAGTTGACAGAGCATGCAACTCCTGATCTCGGGGTTGTGGGTTCGAGCCCTGCATTGGGTGTAGAGATTGCTTCAAAATAAAATCTTAAAAAAAAAAATCGACACATTTCAATCACATCAGTACACGCTGACAGCAAGAGGTGCAAGGGTTGTGACCCAGCCACATTTCCACCTGACCTAGGATCTCAGCAGCTGCACACAGTGCAGATAGCAGCTCCCTGAAAGATTCCCAGGAGAAAGGCCCCAGGAATTGTAGAAATAATTTTGAAAAATCAGAAGTTCCCATGCATCGCTGTGTCACAGAGGAGAGTAAAGACCGTTTATTTGACTTGGGGCCAGGACACCTGGGTTTGAGTCTTTACTTTGCCAAGAATTTCAATCTGCGGGCTGCCATCGATCTGACCTTGGGCAGGCTGGATCATTCTGCCAAGCCTCAGTCTTCTCATCTCGGAGATGGAGAGAGAACAAGGCCAGCCTACCTGCCTTTCAGGTACTGCTCTAAACCCGATGCCCTGGAGTCTGTGAAAAGACCTTGTGAGTCGCAGGTGCAGGGAGGTTTCTGTTTACTGTTTGTTATTGGCAGGAGGCAAATCTAGACTACATGTAGCTCACTTGCATGTCTGCCCCCTGTGGGCATGCCGCAGTAACTCGAATGTACTGTGGCTATGGGTGATGTCCAGGAGCACAGGTGCCCAAGCAATTAATTCTGAGAGAGGTTGTGTCATGTTACCCGCCAAGAACTGGCCAATCTCCAGTGGTCCTGCGAGTGGCTGTGGTTTCTGACGTTTCGTGGTAACCATCCACACGGAACTCCACCTTTAGAGTCCAAGTTCAAGGCCTGCTTAGTGGTTCTGCCGCAGAATCTCGAGTTAGTGCCCACAAGCCCCCATACAAGAATCCACTCCACAGACAGTCCCTGACACCAACATGAATAAGGCAGATGAATGGAGCTGCCCTCATGCCACTTACAGCCACGAAATAATTATGCAATTACTCATCAATACAACCAGATATTTGACTCGCGTGGTTAGTGCTGGTGTATTTTAAAACCTGCACATTTTGATGAAGTCTTTGAATTTCTTTATTCTGAACCATGAAAAAAAAAGCAAACCACTAGAATTTCACAAAACTATGGAGCTAAAATTGAAGTAACAGAACTCAACCAGTTAACCTCTTTATTTTCAGAGATGAAGATCTTGCGTGCTTTGCCCAGGCACACTTGGCCGGGGAAAGGGAACAAGGCTCTGGCAGCAGACGATGGGTTGGACACATCGGCCATCCTTTAGTTCACCTTCCCCCAGCTCAGGACTCAACATGGACCCTGGTGTCTATTAAAACACAGGGCACAAGGAAACTTTTGTGTACATTCTATTTCTGCACTGAGGTCTCTCAAAATCTGAGTTACCCTAGTTGCACTGTGCCTAGAAACTCTGGAACTTTCTGACAGAGCCAAAGTCTAGAATCCTTTACATTTTTTGTATGTCTTCTATCACTATTTCCCCAATCCTGTCTAATTGATGGCATCTAACTAGAGATAGGATCCCTTTTTTATCTTCTTTCTGGGACGTGTCCATTACTTGCAATAAGGTGCCTTCCAAAGTCTGCAAGACACGAGGGCATAACGTTCCTAATGAGAGTCCACCTGATCCCAGAAAACTATTTTCAATGAAAAATGAGGTGACTAATGGACTGGGTCTAAATGATAATGAGCTGGGTGAAAACTCCATTTTCCTAGTGAAAATAATGTGGAGATGTTAAAATCATCTTCTGAGATTGTTTGTGGGTTTGCATATTAATCTTCCTGAACACACACCTTTTATTCCCTCTGTAATTTGAATGCTCAAAATTAAACCATGTTTAAGAAACAAAGCATTAACTCTAGTACTCAGAATAAAAGCTGCAAATATATAACTTGATTCCTGAGTCTTTTATAGTTCATAAAGGGGAGGAGATCAACACTCCTTGAGTACTCACCATGTGCCAGGCTCTTTGCTGGGCATCTTTTTCATGTTACGGTTTATCTTTCATACGAGCCCCTCAGACACTTATAATTATCCCTTTATTATAGAAGAGAAATTGATTTCGGAGAAGTCAACAGCAGAGCTGAGGTTTGAACCCAGATCTGATGGAGGCTAGGACTCTCACTCTTCCTGTGACATCAAAGGGTTGAATTTCTTTCCTAGAGAGACTAATTTAGGATCTGCAGAGTTCTGCTCCTTAATCCAATAAACAAGGCTGAATTATGCTAAAGGAATTCAAAGATTAATATGGCAACTACCCAAATTTGCCAGCAAATCCATCTGACAAGGGTGATGATAATAACGGCAAAAATGGTTCAGGATAAGTCAGACACACTTTCACTGCGTAGGTACGACCTCAGTTGAGTCTCACAACCATCCTCTGAGACAGGCGTCATTGTTATCATGATTGGCTGAGGCCTTGTGTGGCCTGTTGGGATATGGACCCAGATGTGCCGTCTGATGTCTGGGGCCAAGTTCTCACCGCTCTTCTGTATGGCTGTCGGACCTAGAGATTACGTATCCATGTAGTTTATATCAATTACTGGATGGAAGACAAAACACAAGGGAATGTTATAAAGCATATATTCCCATGTTAAGTAATAAAGAGGGAGTCCTCAGTGGCAGTGAGGATGATGATGATTTGATAGGTCTAAAAGTCACATGAATGTTAAAAGTCAAACTGAAGGGATAAAACAAAAACACCAAAGGCCTATAGGCTCTTCAAGTGAAGGGAACAGAGCTGGAAAACCCGCTGTACCATAAGGAAATAGGGGGATTTTGTATTTCTGAACGCAGTTGTGCTGGTGACGCCAAGCAGAAGCTACTCCTGTCTACTCCTGGGGAACAAGGCTTTCCTGGCCCTTAGAGAGAACAGGCTCCCGCCCTCTTCTGAGCCAGCCTGCCCCCAACCTACTGCAGACAATCCTCAGGCTGGCTCTGCCAAAGGAAACTTGCCTCTGGATCTTTCTGCTTTAGCAGTTCATTATTTTCTGTGCAAAATCTGAATCAAGACAGAAAAAGTTCAATCTCTGACACAGTCGCTCTAGGAAATATGTTTGAGGTTTTCTTCTACGAGGCAAGAACAGGCAACTGTTCCTGAATTGTGTTCATCTTCAATTGTTTAAACTGCTATTTTGCATCAAACAGGTTCTTGACTATGTAATCTTAGAAACATTTATCATCTCTCTTTTGCCTCCTAAAATGTGGTACTATGGGGTAGTAGTGGCTCTTCAGGCTCTGAAGCCAGAATGCCAAAGTCAGAACCCCAGTCCCGACGCTTACCAGCTGTGTGATCTGGGTCGTGCTGCCTTGGTTTCTTCATCTGGAAAAATGGAGATAATGAAGGGTTCTACCTTCTGGAGTTGTTGTAAGTTAGTCCACAAAAAGCATTTAGAATAGTGTGCGACACATAGTGAACATGTCAGTGGATATTATATGAGACCACCGAGCATATCCTACAGGTCACTGGTCATAACTGAGGCAGCAATCCCGAGCTAACTCTAATCAAAATTAGGGCTTCTATTCCCATGTTTATTATGAGGCTGGTATATTTTGAATTATGGAATTGTTCATGGAAAGACTCTTCAACTCTCAAGAAATCAATTTAATGCAAGTAGTAACTATTGTATTGACATATTTACAAAATATTACAAAGTGAAATACCTCTCTAATTCACCATATTACACAATGGCAGCATACAGGCAAGACAAAGCATATGGAAAGAAACGTTTACTTCTGTCTTTGGTATTAGAAATCTACACAAATCTGCAGCATTTAAAATTTCCAATACAAAGTATTAAACACAGACAAAGATGTAATCGGTAATGTCATGAAAAGGAGCTCTAATGTCCTCTGCTAGGAAACCCCCAGGTCCATGAAATGCAACGAGAAGACCAAACACCACTTGTAAAGGAGGGGGGCTATTGGCTAAAATAACAATAAAAGAAACAGTACAAGCTACAGTACTGTACACAGGAGTGTTTCATTTTGTGTGACGCGACTTTCTCCATAACAACATTTGGCTGACAGTAACAGACAAAACATTCCCGAGACACAGTCACAGATAAGACTTCATAGGAAAGAATCCACTCCAAGAGTGCGTCTCAAGGGTACAACTTGACTGTACAGAAAGAACATTTTATAAAATTCATTTTTGTGATCATTTACACATATACAAAAACTTAACTGGTTTTAGCAAACAATAACTTTTCTAAAACGCAATCACAGTTTACATAATTGAGGTAAAGGTCCTGAATCTATCTTTTGAGAAGTCCTAGCTCACAAAGGTCTCTGAAGGGGGAGGTGTCTAATGAACATCAAGTTCTGGCATTAAAGTGGGTTGGGGAGAGGGTAGGCCACACCTACCTCACATTTCAGAGATGATCTAAAATTTCAGAACCGAATGTTCCTAGTTTGGCTCTAGTTAAGTTAATGCTTCTAATGTTTTGCTTTGTTATTTTCAAGCATGAAACACTCTCTGAATCGTGTTGGAACAAGACTTCTGCTCTGGGGAAAATATTTCATCAGGAAAGGGCCAAGTTAGTGTCTTAACTTGACTGCCTTGACTGAGGACTCTATATCCTAGGAAGAACATATTTAAACTTCTCACATAAAAAGTAAAAGCTTGGTCAAATAAATGCACCGCAAAACTGATCTTCCTGTCAGCACACACCCCAAAAGGGCCTGCAGATGGGAAGGTCCTAGTGAGAAGGTGGGAGCCCACAGCGAATAAGACCAGAAAAGCCTTAGGGACTCTCCCCTCCCAGAAATGCATAAAGGACCCAGCTGTGTTTCCCTTGCAAGATCCACAGCAAAGTTACTTGTGCTGCTGTAAATACTCCAGGAAAATGTGAGATTCAGCAGATATGTACCAGGTCTTTTTTTTTTTTTTTTTTTTTCGGGGGGGGGGGGGGGGGGGGGGCGGGCAGGAAGGCCTATTTTCATAGATGTTGCTTCTATAAAATGACTTACTCTCAATTATAGCCCTTGATCTATTTCTGTAAACAACGTCACCTTACCCAGGTTACTTGGAACTAGAACCTACCCAGCCCAGATTATTTCATCAAGTACACATTTCCAAAATAACCCTACGAAATCACGAAGGTTGTGAAAATTTAATAGGAAGACACTCGCTTTTATGTAATTTTTTTTATAAAGAAGTTTGCAAATATAATCAGAACATCAAATGAATAATTAAAACCCCTCTGGGATACGTCACTTATAAAGCAAACCTGAGCATTTGCCTCTTCTATTTTATCATGAGTCACATCTGGGTGTTAAAGAGTTTGCCAGGCAATGAGTCACCTTATGAGACAACTGAAGACACGAGCAGTGCTGGACCTTTCCCGTAAGCTGCCCAAAGAGCAAAACTCAAATTTTTCCTCATGCTGGGAAAAGCAAAATGAAACTCCTGCTTCTTTGTACCATCCAAAATTCTGGCGAATGGCACGTGAGAAGAACGTAAATATGTGTTCCACATTTACTAATAGCTGGCGTTCATGGTGTCTGACCGCATGGAGTAAAAAGGAACACGAACCAATGTGTTTGCAGGGCTCTTTTGGGAAAAGCAGCTTTGGGCTTTGCCCTGGTCCCCAACAATGACAGACTGGCAGGCTGTTTCTTGCACAGCTCGAGGCAAGCCATTAATCTGTCAGTACCCAGCATCTTTAGAAATCCCAGCATTAAGACAGGAGGGGGAGAGGAGGGAGGAGGTTGAAGAGCCAGAAATGTGGCTTTTTAAACACTTCAGTTAATTCCCAATGATGTGCGGGCTTCTGTGTATCCCTCCTCTGAGATTTCTGGTGCAGGGTGCAACTCTGGGGTGCAATTTATTCATCCTCTTCCACGTACGTGGATGGAAACCAGCCCACCTAAAAAAGAAAAAGCAACCAACGTAGCAACATGACTTTGCATCTGGCATTTCAAAGGGTTCTACAAACAGAGCATTTCGTTTTTTATAACACCCCGATTAAGCTGGGATTTTATGGCCACTGTAGGTAAGGAAGATTGATTTAACTGCCCTAGAAGCCTGAGAGCATGAATGATAGAGACAGAGGGATAAAATAAGCCTACGCAGTGTTCTAATCTGCTAGCACTCAAACAAATATGTAAATTAAGTGTAATAAGGGCTCTCCTACTTAACGCTTCCCGTTTCTGCTCTAGAACAGGATACAAAGACAAGGGTGCTATGTCCCATTCTTTCAAATTTAGATCAGCAGCTCTTATAAATATTCTGTATTCCACATAAAATTTATGCTCTGAGGCTTATGGACTAAAAAGAACTGAAATGTTCCTCAATCCTTTTCCAAAGAGGAAGCCCTCAAACTTGCCCAGGTGAACTTTATTTATGCCATGATCGTATCCATTCACCATATTTTTCTTGAATGCCTGTTTTCAGGGAGGACCACCACCACGCTCCAGAGCCCCGGCTCTGTGGGCTGAAGGCTTCTCCCCAGCCCCCACAGGGGGTGCCAACGACCGCCCGGTCCGCTTCATTCACCTGCACGAGCACCTCGAGAGGGTCAACTCACCCTGCCGTTTACTTCTCCTCTCCACCAGCCATTCGCACTCATTTTCGTGTAAATCTTCACCACGTCACCTTTCAGCAAGGATAACTCTCGCATGTCTCTGGCACAGAAGTCATACCGAGCAATGGCAATGCCCAGCACTTTTGGACTTAGCACTGTAAAGAAATGATGGGGAGTCAGAACTGATTTGCGGTTTAACAACCATCAGCGCCTGCTCAGATGAATGTTCTAGATGCTATCAAAATCACAGCCATGACTTCACTACAGACTAGTGATAATGGTGGAGGAGCTGGAAAGCAGCACAACTGTTTCAATTCAGTCAGGTGTAGTCAAGTTCACTTCATAATGCTTAAAGAACCATTGTTCTGTTTCATTCTTCACAAGAACCTCAAAGCAGGGACTCGTTTTTGTTAAAAAAAAAAAAAAAGTTAATCTCTAAATTACTATCCAAGGAGATAGAATCTAAAATAACTAGCATAAATTTCCTATTGATGGCATGATAATCCATTTCTAACAAGAACCTCTAAGGTCAAAGCTTTACATTTTTACCTCATAATTTCTTCAACTGAGACTCAAAACAACCAAATGTTTTGCTCTGAAATTCTCCTCTTGAATCCATGTCATTGCTTCTAGTTAAATGGCTCTTCCTCCCCCAACTAGCCTTTTTTGGGGGGCTTAAAACTATTTGGGAACAAACTCAGTTGTTGTTTTATATAGAATTTCATTATGTGAAGCTGAAATGAGGTTTCACTGGAAGAACACATAAACACTATCAATTTGTCCTTTCTTTCAAACAAATACTGCAAGTATAGAAAACTCTGCTGTAGGAATGTACTCAAATACAAGAGGTCAGTGTGTTCATTTTCTATATTCACGTTTTATGGTAGGAGAAGAGCTAACTTACTCCCTGTCCCAACCCACCCTACCCTGAAAGAAAAACTCAGTTCAAGCTGTACGTTTGTTCTTCTCTAGTGTTTTGTGACACATTTCATACTAATTTCTCTACCTGTTGCTCCTTGGGGTTATAAAGTATTTTCAATTATATGTGCAGTGATTCTAAGGATCACTCACCTGGGAACAGTGGGACTTTATAAACCTTAAACGGTAGAGGAACGGAAGTATAAGAAAAAGAAACAAATGGGAAATGCCATACATCTGTATTTTTAACAGTTCCTAGGGCCCAGGCAGCCGAGCTTACAACTGGTGTTAGCCTGAAAGAGCCTGCCCACTTGGAGACAGGGAGTGCTAGCCTATTACTCGGGGCTTTGCAGTGACAGTCTTTGAGTCTCCGGGTGTCTACCATAAGATAAACGAATAGCAATGCTGTAGATTTCAGAACTGTAAAGGGAGTAAAAATGTGGTCATTTTACTTTACTGTTCGAACACAAACCACTTTAATAGTTTTCTTACTGAAACCTGTCCCATTACTGGGGCACTACTCTCACAGTTAGTGCACATAAAAACACCCCTGTGATGGAAAAACCAATCATCAGAGTAACTCTGTGACCTTGCATAGGTCTCTTTAACCCTCGAGGCCACACGTCTCTCACCTATAAAATGAAAGGTCTCTGCTAGCTGACGTCTAAGGTCTTTCTGGTACTAAAGGTTATGATTCCACTAGGACTTACAGGTTAATTTTTAAAAATCTGTAAGAAAACATACTTGACCTAGCCATAATGTACTCCCCTACCTGGCACATAGACAGCCATTAAATTCTCGGGCTCGTGACAGAAATTAAGACCAGAATGCCTGTACACAAACTGAGGGGCACAGTCATCCTTCCAAGCAACACGAACTTTACTTTTCTAGTTGGACACAAAGTTGGGGTCTTGGTTGTTTATTTTCTTAATGGGACTATGTAAATGTTGGCTTTCCTCAACTAAAATTTCTGAGCCTCAAGAAAACTAATGATTTTAATAGAGTGGTTCATCCCCCACTTTATACTTTCAGCCCCCTACCCTTCCCAACCTCTCCCCCAACAGATAAAATAAAATTTAAAAATGTCTGACGGAAATACGTAACATGAGCACACACACAAGACCAGAGGAATGAAATGTCATGACAAACAATGACTTTATGACAGAGAAGAGGAAACTACACAGTGGGAATGTGACTCTAGGGACTATTTGTGGGGAGATGCATCTATACGAGAAGCCATACACAGAAGTCAAAATATTTTATTTGCAAACAGAAGCAAGTGGAAAAGACATATAAAAGCAGTAAAGCAGTACCTGACCAGAAAGGAGTGGAAGAAGGGGGAACAAAGCTGTAGTCTGGAGGAGTTACAAAAGAAAACCCACAGAACAAAGAAGGGGCTTAGAGAAAGAAAGAAAAAGAGAGAAGCAAAAGAGCATTTAGGTAATGGCAAAAAATATCTCAACACAGCTATTTCGTTGTCTAGCATCATAAGGAAATGGTCACATCAAAGTTGGAATCTCAAGCTTCGCTTTCACCCACTTCTCCCCTATCACCATTTCTAAATAAAGGACAAGCCAGATTTTTAGATTTTGACCGACATTAGTTCTGAAATTTAGAGCCGTCTATCCCTTTACAGGTGAACACAGCACACCCACTCCACAGTGCCATCTTTGAACCCCTTCCATCCGAGGATGACCTCCATGCACAATTCCCACTTTGTCACACCAGTGGAAAGGGGAGCCTGTAAATTCTTAATGGAAAATATGCTTCACATCAAAACTGATATAAAGAGGCAAGAGCCTATAGAGTAGTGTCAACGAAACATGCAGAGCCCATAGGAAAGTCACTCATATGGTTTGTTAGGCACCACCCCAACCCTCAATCAAGCATGCACATGCTAGCTTATTTCCACACACACAAAAAATGTAAATCGTTCCAAATCTTATCATATCTGGAAAAGTAAATACATCTCCCAATTTTAGGAATGTATGGAAAAGTTATATGTAAAAACTCTACCCTCAAAAACTTTTTACTTTACTTTTAAATAATAAAAGCAAACGGTTATCAAGTGGTCCTGAAGTGTTAAATGCCATGTTCTATGTTTTATATTCAGCATTTAATTTAATCATCCCAACAATTCAAAGAGGAAGGTACTGGTACTATTTCCCCTTGATATCTTAGAATGACCTGGATTCAAAGCCAGGCAGGAGGATTTCAGGGTCCAGGCTCTTAACTGCTGGACTGCTGTGCATCAGATCTCTCCCTAGGCAGTTATCAAACTCCACCTGTCAATGCCATGGTGCCATTGTAAAGGAAAAGAAAGGCATGGTTATACATTTTCTTCCAAGATTTATTCCCTCCTTCATCCCTGTAATAGGTTATTTGGTCAGGCTGTGTTTGCCCAAAAGGCACACTTCATTTCTCTGTCTTCTTGCAGGTCTACACAGCTTATGACTGAGTTCCTGCCACTGGGATATAAGCAAGGGTATTGTGAGGCAGCTTGTGGGACTTTTCCTGGCAAGGCAGCTGGCACATGCATTCACCTTTCTTTTTTGGTTCTTTATTCTCTCCTGCTGTGTGGAATGTGAAAGCTACCATTTGGGTCCATGAGAAGAAAGGCCTCACATTAAGGACGGTAGCTCATAGAGCTTGAGGGAAGCTGAGTTACTGAAGATTTAATGGAAGAGATGACCTTCCCCAAGCCATGGACTGACCACTTCCAGGATTTTATTATAAAGAGAAATAGAGGTCTAGCTTGTTTAAGCCGATGATTTTTGGATTTCCGTTACTTGTACCGGGACCTAATCTAAACTGTGACAAAAAGTTTCTAGGACCAAAGATGAGGTGAAAGTGGGTTAAACAAACTGGAATGAGTCCATATAATCTTGCAATATATTCTGTCTCTTTCAGGCCACTGATGGATCTGAGAGCCAAAGAATTCTCCCGAAGGTAATACCCTTGTCAGGAAGGGGTTCTGTGATACTTATGAATGGCAGTAGCTCATGAAGGGGATACTCAGGTACTATCCAAGTAGACTGGCCATGGAAATTGGATGCGATTCAGTTGCTCTTGGAACCATGGGCTACGGATCCTTCATATATGCATTCATGACACTTTCCTCATGAATGGCCTTACGTATTTACTTTTAATCTACCCTGAGACATATCCTCATTGATAATCAAGTTTCTTTTCTAATCCATTGCATCTTCCACACTACATTTTTAAAATTTTAAAATTCAGTGGTACATGCCATTACAATTAATTTTACAATCTGCTCAATTCCCTTATGGCCATGCAACATAACTGGTTTAAATTTCCTTCAGATCCTGTTATACCCACTATTAGAGAGAGGAGGGGATGCTATCTCTAATGAGAAAAATGGCTCATATCTAACTGTATTATTGGCAGAAAATCTGGTGCCAAGATCCCTACCCCGTTTGTGAACCCCCCATTCTACACATTACTTCTGGCAAGTACTAGAATTCTCTCCTTTAGCTGCTTTCTAAGTGTCCATCCTTGATTATCTCTCTGGTACTATTTTATCCATAAAGCAATAAAAGAAGATTGTATTTCTTCAAAATTTCTAATGAAGTTAATGTAAGTCAGCAGTCTGAAATATAACAAGAGATAAGTTAGCTCCAGAAGGAAGAAATAAGAAATCAGTGAAAACACAATTAAATGCAATTTAAATAATCTCAGTTGGTAGATATTAGATCAGATAACCTGTCTCTAATTTTAAAATATCTAACATTCCTGAAGTAATATGGATAATGCCTCACTGTACACAGTGGACATGAATCTGTTTCAGATACATGATATCAGTGTGCTACCCTCTCTCTTACCTAACCCTAAAAGCTTTATACACACTGGCATTCATGTCTAGTAGCTACAATTAGAATCTTCTTCAATCTTATCTAAAATATTATAATCTTAGCTGAATGGTAGCTATCTCCCCATGGTTAAGCCTAGACTCCTCTGCTGGCTTCACTTGAGACTAATTTTTTTTTCCCCCACAATGAATGGAACAGATTCTGGGATATGCCCTGCGTCCTCACCTAAATTCCAGTCTGTAATTTCAGATGTTTTCATGACACTGCCATGAAGGACCACCATTATCTCTGATGCAGCCTGCGTGAAACCAAAGTCATCATCTTCCTCCTTGTGATCTAGCTCAAACTTCCACATTTTTGTCTTTCAATGACTTTCGAATTCTTGGCAAACTACGCTTGCAGTCAGTATGCTTTTTATTCACTCTCTTCTTCCTCTGAAACATGAAGTTATTCCTTCACTGAATTCTCAGCTCCAGCATCCCAACCCAGGTACTTACGCCATTTCTAAACTAAGACAACTGCCTCCTTTTGGTATTCTTGCTTTGAACTTTCTTTCCATTCTATTCTAAATACTGCCTCCCAGCTACAATAAACAGAGATTTGTCATTCCTTTTCCCAGATTATGAAATCCAAACTCTTGCCCTGAATTCCATGGCAATTCATAGTCTGGCTGTTTCCTGCCTTTCTAACCAAATCTTCCCATCATTTTGTCATATAAATTCTTTTCACCCAGACCACCTGGTGGGAATACCCGCCAAGGCCCTCAGCTTCGGTTTCAACTCAAAACTTTTGCTCACTCTGGAAGGTTGCTCCTTCACCTTGCCCCTGCTAACCTTAACCTCCTTGTCTCCAAAGCTCTGCTCAGGCCCTTTCCACGAGTCTTCTCTGACCAAGCCAGACAACACTTGTCCCGTTCCTTCCTTGTTCTTTCTAGCCATCTGAGGCACTTACATCATGGCACTCCCTGGCTCTGCTGTTTAATTACTGCATAGCTCCAATTAGTTGTTGATTCTGGAGAGCAGGGGCTAACCCTTATACTGCTTCTGCATCCCCCCAGGATCAGGCCCGGTGCTCAGCTACTGAGGCTGCTGAATGGACAAGTATCTCAGCAGGGTATTCAATTTTGCAAGCTCCTATGTCTCCTCCTCCTATTCATTGAGCTCATCTTCTGCACACTTAACTGCTCAAAAAGACTTCCAACAAAAGCCAGCACAACACAAAGAAAAGAACATAAAATATGTTCAGGTTTTATTCCCCAGGATCCCTGAGAACCATAATCTATCAATGATATTCCTACAATAACTGTAATTTTTTTGGAGATGCCGAACAGCTATTAAGTACTGTATGTCTCTTGGCATTAAGCGTACTGTATGCCTGAGGAATCTTCTTAGGGGTAAAAGGTTAATCAGTTTTCTCCTGCCACCCAGTGCATCGCTCTCAGCCAAATATTTTAAGGACTGGTAGGGATGTTTTCTAGTTTTCTACACATTATAGCATGACTTATTGTTGCTGCTCTTCCTATACATTAATTTTCACTGCCTTTGGGTCCTTAATTCTCATAAGCTGGCAAAATAGCATCTGAATGCCTGACATCTATGGAGACAAGAGTATAAAACAACATGTTCCCTTGGAAAGTGTGGATTTAAATCTAGATGTAAATGATGTCAGAAAAAGGTATTTGATAAAAAAAAAATCATTTTGCAGAGTGGCTTAACCTGCAAAACACATTTACATCCTTACTGAGAACATATCCACCTATTTCTAAACGCATATACATGTTTTCTTCATCAAACTCTCCTATTATAATGCTGCTAATGTAAGAATTACTGGTAGATGCCTATCCTGGAATGGAATTAGAAATAGACGAGTAACAGTGGCATTCAAATGAGAATGTTGAGGTGAATTCTCTCCCATCCCTTTCACTTCCTGGGCTAATATTCACTTCACCACTTAATATTATAGATAGCCTGTCTGCTAGTACATTGCATCATTTTGGGAAGTTTCTTGAGAGAAAGAACTCTTTTATTCCTATCTGTACCCTCTGAGACAATGTTAAGTCTGTGTTGAGACCTTTATCACTGAAGTAATCATTGGCAAACTGCATGCTTTAATTAAGGGCCTAACTTTCCTCCTTCCTCAAACACTTTTGAGCTCCTTACTAACACAGACAAAGGAGAACCTTACTCAGAGAGACCAACATATTCAGGCAGGTGTCTCTGGCTATTTTTCACATAACACCTAGCCCTCAGTTGGGCTAACATTGGTGGGATATTAGGAAGTGAATGGCTCATAGTATGGTGAGTTAATATTTCTCATTAGGAACTATTAAGAATACAGTCAAATATTATTTATCAACTTTTCCAAGTTAAACAAACAAAACCTAAAGTACAGACATTCTCTAACTGAAACAGAAGTTACCTGTTACTAAATTGGGAACAGAAGCTATCAGCATAGCCATAATCAACTGGCAAATCACTGTTGAACGGTATTCAGTTCTGAGACTTAACTGAGAAAACAGAGCCACAGCACACAGAAGTATATCAAGAAGAACACAGTGCTTACATATA